TACAGCTATCAGTAAAACATAGTGGAGTCTTCTTTTTTTAGCATGACAATGATTTCAAACACACTTCTAATGCAGTAAAGACATACCTGGAGAGAAAAACACACAAAGCAACACTATCAGCCATGGATTCGTCTCTCTACAGAGTCCAGACCTCAACATTACTGAAGCAGTGTGGGATCTTGGCAGAGAGCAGAATAAAAGGCAGCAACATCCAAAGAAGAGCTTTGAATGTCCTTCAAGAAGCCCCAAGAACTATTCCTGAAGACTACTTACAGATAGAACAAGACAGCTTGTCAAAGAGATTTCAGGCTGTGTTGAATAATAAAGGTGGTCACACCAAATATTGACTTTCAAGCTTGTTAGAAGTGTAAAAACTCATTTTTGCATTATATAATGTATTTGCATTATTTTTGCATGCTTCAACAAATCACTGCACCTATTTTTCATTTTCCCGATAAAATATAAAGAAATGAGGGGTGACTCAGCACTTTTTCTCAGTATTGTAGCTGTATTGTCCACAGCGGTAGTTTAACAGCTGATTATCTTCCATCTTTATTTTTCTCCTGCCATTATCATGCCCAAACACCGGCTCTACAATGGTGCCCTCTTGAGCCCATTACAGAAACAAAAGCTCTGCTTACAAATAGCGTTTCTTTCTGAGGAGGTCAGGTTTGTTAGTTTGTACGTTGACAAGATTGTTTTAGACACAATTAGCTTTGCCTGCAGCTCAGAAAAGATAAAATCAACGACTGATGGCTTGATTTTAAAAACAAAATGAGACATCAAAACATCAATTACAAAAAAATGCATCACGGCATTACACATGTAAACAGACACACACACCCATACACACAGCAATATGTCTTTCCATATAGAGCTGTGTTATATAACAGTATCTCTGGAGTCTCCAATGTGCGGGCTAATGCATAATCAAACAGCCTCAGAGCTCCATTAAATCTACAGGCGTGAAACAACGCTCCCTCAACAATTTTCTAAAATCTTAAAACAAACACACACACACACAAAACAAACAAAACACACAAGCAAAGCAATTAATTCTCTGTTAAATCAATACATCGACACGCCGCTCAAACAGGCTTAACAGGCCATGTAAGAGAAAAACTATTTAGCTGCTCTCTGAATAATATTTGGAGAACAGCACACCCATAAAATTAGCACCTGGGGCAAAACAAACAGGGAGCGTGATGGTAAGGACTGTGTGATGATGTCTTCTGTGTATGAGTCAACTGGTGTGTCTCTGGCAGAAGAACCACGTTATGTAAGGCAGTGGGAGTGAGGTGTCTAGTGGTATCTATGGGAACAAAGAGGGTGAGGAAAGACAGAGAGCTCAGCTGACTGAGGTTCACCAGTCCAGAGCGTGAGGTCGCACTTTCTGTTGTTCACACATACGCGCGTGTGTGTGTGGAGATGGCTGAGCAGTTACTTTCTGGCAGATTTACTTAAACAAATGAAGGGTGGCCATGCTCATCCACACCGTACAACCTTAATTAAGCTTCCAAAAATATATATTTTGGACAAATAAAAACCCGTTGTCTGATCCACTCGTCTTGAGCTCCTTAGATCTGATTTCTGTGACCTGTGAGCTGGATTGAAGGGCCTGTCGACAAATAGACGGTAAAGCTTGAAAGAGCTCAGCCATTTACACTAACGTGCCAAAAAACAGAGTCTCAAGTATCATAAAAGGGGTGAAAGAAGGCTTCTCTACAAAACTCGAGAAACCCGATAATAGAGGGCCAAAAATTTTAAAATGATACTCTCACATGGATAGTGGCTGATAGCAAACTCTTTGTTTGAATAGCCAATATTCTCTACAACTAAATGCACAGAAACAAATGCCAATTCTAATTTTAAATAATAAAGTTTCTCTCAAAATGAATTTTTTAATGTGGTTTGATGATGCTAAAAGGTAATAAATGCAGGGCTTTTTGCTCCACTACAGTGGTGCTGATGTATAAATCAGTCATGCTACAAAGGCAATTGAAGCCCCCAGTGGGGCAGCGCATTATAAAGCACCTCCACATATTAAACAGCAAGTACAAGAAAATTTAAATCTTAAAAAAAGTTTCAGATTCAAACAATTAAAGAAGGACTTCCTTAAATAAGCTTTGAATCTGTAATAATAATCCCTATCTGTGCAAATACATTATGCTTATTTAAAAATGAAATCAAACTAGACTAGTGTAGAGGAAACTTATTCCAAAAACACCAGTCTGGATTTCAGGAATTGTATATCTTGAAATCCAGATTGGGAACAAACTTAAAGGGATCGAAGGAACCTCGGAGAAGCACAATACTCTTACACACATGTCAAACTGTCTGTGCGTGTGTGTGTGTGTGTGTGTGTGTGTGTTACTTGTGGCGTAAATCCATACCCAGAACAATAGAGTTAACTGGGTCACTCATACTGCTGCTGCTGACTGGCTGTGCCAAAAAAGCTGGAGTGATGAAGAGGAGTATGATTTATGAGAAAGAAAGGGAGTAAGCCTGAGATGTGTGAACAGCGTGAACAGCACACTTCACCACAGCACAGTACAACACAACAGAAGAGCACAAACCCCCTATTAAATATCAATCAGATTTCAAAACATTTAAAACAGTCAGCAGAGTACTGCTGCCTGCTATGATACATCCTCAAACACTGGCTTCCTCTCACAAAACATCCAAGCTGACTGCTTCTGGACATCTCAGCAATGGGATAATAACAACGGGAGACCACCCGACTTAGACTATACATTGATCCACAGCCCACAACTCTACACGTCTTCTCAATGACGAAAACACCTCATCGGTGAGGGGTCCAAAAGGCCCAGACAGGGCATCAGACGGGCACCGGAACTGAGAGACGTGCGTGTTTTCTCTTCCAGACGTGACACACTTTTTTTTAATGCTCCCAGATTGTAATCACTGGCAAGTAGCACTGTTGGTATTTACAATAGCTCCCTCGCTGATAGCTAAAGTGTAGCGTAGCCATCATAAAGTGTGATTTACTATGATAGTCGCTGTTTTAGATAATCACTGTTGCTTTAGCTAACCTGCCTCACAAAGCCGCTCGGCATTGTTCGCTGTGTTGGTGGCACCGAGGCAACTAAAGAAGCGAGTTTAGGTTAAGTCACATTCTCCTTTTCTTTCTTTTAATGGCCGACCACTGTAACCGGATAAGCCTATGGCTAACTCGGCTGCTAAAGAGCTAGTAGAAGCCCCCCGTGGTAGTAAGAGCTATCGATGTTGTATTAAGAAATTGCTCGGTTGCCTTTGTGGTTGACACAGAGCCGTTAAACAGCACCGGGCATAGCACTGGCGAATCATTTAGATTAACTGTACCTTTTCTGCGTCGACCTCGGCCACTACAGGATCATTTCCTAGCACCAGTTCTTTGTTTATGTGATTCGGTGGCTTGTTTTCATCAAACCTCCTCGTCTCTCTCCTCCAGGAGTCGTGCAGCCTCAGCTGACAGCGCTACTGCTCGGGATGTGAGTGCCCCGCCCTTAGCAACCAATCGAACGCCAAGAAGCCGGTAACTGAGGCAAGACAAGCTTCCTATTGGTTAGCAGCTGTGTCCATAAACGTGTCGCTAGGGGCGCACCTTGGACCAAGGGCAGGACACCTGCTATGAAAGGATGCTGAGAACCGCAGGTGAGGCCAAATCAAGAGAAGAAAAAGCCGTGGAAAACAAGTCCAAAGACACGTTGTAGCAGGATAACAGGCACGTATATGATACGTAGCTGCACAAACTAATACGGAGGTGAAACAGCTTCATTTTTGTATTGTGATTATCATTATCTTTTTTTTCACCAAGAACTCCCACTGAGAACAGCGTCTCGTTTACAAAAGAAACCTGGCTAAACTAGAGACCATACAACCTAACACATCTAAAAAAAAAAAAAAAGAAGCTAGAAATACAACAAAATGTGCAAAACCCTACACATAATAATATGAATATAAAATATGAGTGCTATTGTTATGGCTAAAAATAGTCATAACATAGAAGATTAAAACATTAAATGACTTCTCAAAAGAAACACCCACAAGTGTCCTTCACTACATTACTTATTATGCTTTTAAATTGAATATATAAATATTACTTAATTCTTCATTTAAATTGATTAGAAATGTTATTTTTGTATTAAAAATGTATAATTCTTTATTAATATTTTTTAATACAAAAAAATCAGCAAGGAGGACAATTTGTATTACCGATAGCAAGTACCAATTCAGTTATAAGAAGTATTTTATATGGTGCTATTGAGGAATAGAATTTGGTGCCACTGCAGATAGAGAGAAACACTTTTGACTACGGTTAGAAACTGTTAACATGAGCCTGGATCTGTAAAAGTTATATCAGGTATAATTTGTGCTGTGAGAAGCTGTTTTTTGTTGTTTGTGTGTGTGTATGTTTAACAGCAAAGTATTAAAATGTAAGGATTTGTGACCCCAGGAATAAAGGTGCTGCACTGCTTCAGCTAATAAGAATCTTGATCAAATAAACTGAAGCTAGAAGGATGTTTAAATGTAGGTCTTTTTTGTAAATTATCCCATGTCCAAGGTGACTAAAAAGAAAGTACAAAGTAACTATTTAGAGAAGTGTAGCTGGTAGCTATTGGTATGTGGACAGAGAGGGATATAGATCTAAACTGGAAGTTTAGCTAGAATGGTTTTATAGAGGAAAACAATGCCAGTGCTGTTTTTTGGTAATCAAGGTTTTCAGTCATGTTCATTTTATAATAGGGAAATATTCGTCTCTAAAGTACACCACTGCTTATTTTTGTTTGCACTGTCTTCCTTTCAGGTTACTACTGCTCATACAAAAAAAAACAAAAATATATGAATGTGCATGTTCGTTCGTGTCTTTTTATTGTTATTTAATTTAAGAAAAAACAATATAGAGCCTGACACCAACAAACACCATCAAAAAACACACAACTCACACCGAGAGGATCCGTACCGAATTTTATACACTAAACATAAACATATGCACATCAATACAGCATAACAGGAAATAAGGGCCTTGTTAGGATTCCATTGCTTGGCATATTAATGAGAAATGTATGCAAGCATTAAACAGCTATTTTTATTTATCTGTCCAGCTTTCCTTTTCATGTCATCAGTGTCTAAACTCCTCCACGTTTAATGATTGTCACTAAGTTAAAGGAGCTTTTAAAGGTACATTGGTGCACTGATAAAAAAAAAAAAGTCAGAGTCATCAAAACATAAAAGAAATCTGGAAAAGTCCATCTCCAAAGTCTCAGATGTTAAGAGTGTCGCAATTCAGTCTCCTCATTTGTCAGTTCGTTATTTACATGTAATATGACATACGTGTACAAAATGCTTTCATCCAGTTGTCAGTGAAATGAAGAGTTCAGAGCAGTTCTTTTAAACAGCATGACTATGGCACAAAGAGCCTGCAGCATATTGGTTCAGTTTCAACATTAGTTCAGTCAAAGCAGATACAGTACATGGAATGGAAGAATATGACATGAAAGCAAGAATTATGAGGATAGTTAAACAATCTGATAAACACCCAAAAAGTGATGGGCATGGAGGAATTAAAGGGCAAGAAAAAAAAGAAACCAGTAGGTAAGAAGAGATTAACTGGATAGTTCTCTATATAAAATATGTTCTTCATTAATATTATGCCACTGATATTTGTCAGTCTCTCTGTGTTTGTCCCACAGCTTCTAAACTTCATAAAAAGTTCACCACAGTGACTGTTTAGGATCTATGTGTGTATTTTACAAGAGTCATCTAAACACTTTTCTTGATAGACTTCAGGAATTTTAAAGCAGGGATGTCAAACTCATTTTACATAAGAGCCACATATAGCTCATTTTCATCTTAACTGAAATGCGCTTTTCTATTGTTTTAAAGAAGTTAACTGCACAGTTAATCCCTCATCTTAACAGATTAATAAAAAGTGCAATTTAAATTGGGCATCTCCCTTTACGTGATAAAGAAATGCTGCTGTAAGTAAATAAAAAGAAATCTGTCAGAATGACTTTTTGGGCTTTTGACAGTAAGAAATAAATGTGTAAAATTACATAAAAAGTTTTGGTAGCTCATTGCCCAGACTGTCCTATCATTAAAAAAGAATTTCCAGGAAAAGTTCTGTTTTCACTGGGAGGAAGTGGGGAGCGTGGTCTTTATCAGTAGAAAAAAGCTGTAAAACTTATGAAAGTATGGTAAAAAGTCCAAGATTTATGATCTCCTTCAATTTCCCCAAAGCAGTCCATTGGGACTAGAGTTTTTGCCTGGCCAATTCTAGCCCCTGGGCCCTATGTTTGACACCCATTTTATGGTCTGTGCCATCCTCAGGATGGCTTGACATTAACAGTATATGTTCTAAATTATGACTGGACCAGTTGTAAGATCTTGAATTTTTATATTATGTTTGTTATATTTTATTAATTCAAGTGGTAAAGTGCAACAGTAGTTAGGTCTTTTGCCTCGAAGCAAAAAGGTCTGGCCTGCATGGGCTCTCTTTGGGTACTATTTGTATTTGGGTCCAAATATGTTCATGCTAGGATATTTGGTGATTCTATCCTGGATGTGGGTGTGAATGTGAACACTGGTGGATGTCTGCCTCTACATGACTCTCCAGGATGTACTTGTATCACCTTATGAAGAAGGAAGGAAGAAAGTGAGTGAATAAATGGAAATGGTTTCATTTCAAATTTCATTGCAAATATAAAGTCAACAAGGAGCTTGAATGGCATGATCAGACAGTCATCTGTTGAGGGTGGTTGGCGTGTGTTTCTGGGGTTGTCATCACAGTTTATAAATGTCAGAGCGTGATGAGACGGCACAGTGACTGCTAATTATTTCCAAGCAAAAGTGTGTTGAAGTCTTGTTGAAGCACGCTTTGTTCTTAAAGATGGACTAAAACAATAAAAAAGGACTAGTAGCTTACAAAATGCTGTATCTTTACAAATACATCATCAGGCATAGCAAGGATCTGTGCTTATAAGTGACACCTGCTGGAGGTAAACGGGTGGCTGGTAGCACAGACCCCGTGACGTATCCATAAAGATTGTGGACGACGTAAGGCTTTTGCGGTCTTTCTTCAGACATAACACTCCTCCTGGCAGAGGAGTATTATGTCTCCTCTGCCAGTGACAGAGTAAAACTTCCACTTGCTCTCTGAAGAAGCTGGTGGTCAAGGTGTACAGGATGGGGTTCAAGGCACTGTTGATGGGAAGGATGAAGATGACAACCCAGCTGGAGATAGTGCCTAAGGAAGGAAACATTTCACAAGTGATTGAAATCTAGAGAAATATAATTGTGTTGATGCTTGTTAGCAAACTATTCAATAAAGTAACACAGTGACCTATACATATATATATATATATATATATATATATATTGTTGTATACATTGTTGTATACAGTTAAACCTCTAAGATACTACAAGTACTATAAGGCAGCTGTTTCACTTCTTACCAGGGATCTCCACCTCCAGCAGCGAGAGGACTTTCACCAAAAATATAGGAATCCAGCAGAGGGCATCAGAGAACACGATGAAGAAAAACCTGTTGGCCACAGCCACATCTCTGTGCAGTCCGCTCCTCAGGTCGGTGGCATTGATGCCGGTTTTATAGATGGAGCAGAACATACTGGAGTAGGAGAATACAATCACCAGGAAAGCCACCAGGTTTAGACCTAAAGAGATACAAATGCTTTTCATGCTGGCTGGGACTATATCAAACACTGTTATGCAGTTCATGCATTATTAAATACAGTATTTAAGTGGTTTTGAACTCGGGAAAAGTGTGGAAGCCGACAGTTCTGCTTCACAGATTTGTACAGCATAGTTTTTTTTACTTTACACTTTGTATATTCTGTGATAATGAACAATTTTGCATTTCTTTGGGTGTTTAAAGTTTAAATGGAAGATTGTCTTTCTTTTCTGGAAAAGACCATTTTAAAAAAAGATTTTACTGAACTCCAATTCAATTCAATTTCATTTATACATCACCAAATCACAGCAACAGTTGCCTCAAGGCGTTTTATGTTGTAAGGTAAAGACCCTACAATAATACAAAGAATTAATCCCACTTCTGAGTGCTGTCTATTACTTATGTAAGTATAAAATATGGAATGAAAATTCATGAAAAACAAAATCTTCTATTCACCCAGAAAAATCCCTGTGGAATATCCTTTGGCAGTAGGTTTTTCTTGCCTGTCAGAGTGCAGGGGAAAGCAGACCCCATTACGTCCATAGTAGTTCCCAAAGACGTCCTCATTCATTAGGGGCACGGCTGCAATAATAAACCCCAGCAGCCAGATCGAAGCCAGGACCACCTTAAAGCAGGACAACATACATGCTGTCAGGACTTCACACAATGTGCTCTTCAAATTCCCCAAATAAGAAAAGTTATGACTGCCTGGGTTTCCAAACTCTAGTTGACATTTATTTAATCAGATTTCAAACATTTGGTTCAATCAAGTTGCCTCCTGCTGACTGACGGGTCACTTCATGTTCTGCCCCTGTGTGGACAATCTGGGAGAACAAGCAGTAGGTCTTTTAATTCTTTACTGGTGGATGTGAGGTGGGTGGAGGCGTATTTACAGTAAATGGCTGACTCTTAGACTTGGTTCAAAGCAGTAAAATTAATATTAGACTGTAGTAAATCTGGAAATGGTCAATATTTTGGGGACTTCTGGTGATGTTCAGGGGTTACTTTATACTTCATACCATACCAGTAGAACAAAGGATATCTCTCTTTTGTTCTCCACACAAACTGTTTTCCCTTACAGCTCAGATTACTAGTGGACTAAAATGAGCTACCTGCACTTTACACCTACTGAAGGCATGAAGCTCCCAGCAAACAGTTTTTGTGATGATGTTAATGCCAGAGGAGGTTTGGAGCTCTGCAGTTACTGAGTCAGTGAGCGTTGAGGACTTTTGTGCAGTGTGTTCTTCAGCAGTTTTTCTTCAAAATAAGAGTGACGATTACTTTGTAGACAAAGACAACAGTTGGATGACATTCATCAGGCACATTGTTCCCCATTATGAAAAGTGCAACTTACCCCTGTCTGAAATTTGCCTGGGCGCAAATTGCTAAAAGGAAAAACAATGACAAGGAACTTCTCCAGAGTCAGGTAGGTCAGGAGGAGAACAGACACCTGAGGAGAAACATGCACCGCAAACAAAAACAACATGTTTTTAACTTATAAACTGAAACACTGCTTTGAATATTGGCTGCACTGTTATTAGTAGAACCTCTATTATGACAGAGGAATCAACATGCAGACGATGGAAATTGGGTTCACATCATTTATAAAGTCAGTTTTCTGAATTGCCGCTAATGCAGTCTAATGATGATTTATCCTGGAAAGTGCATAAAGTTCTGAGATGGGCTGTTAAACTCCAGCTGAGGCTTGTTATGTCAGCTAAATGCAATGAGTGAGAGTGAATTATAAACACGTTTTTAAAGTAAAAGAGAGCATAATTTGAGTACTTTACTCTGAAAACATGATATTTATATAACGCAGAGCCAAAACAAGCTGATACGGCCAGTGAGCGGAACAAAATATGATTTTAATCTTAAAGCTACTTTAGCTGAAAACAGCAGGGCAAAAGTACAAGCAAAAAGCGAAGGGTGTGTAAGTGCAACTCTTTGTGTCCATTTTACAGTACAGATCAGTTTGTCTCAATCTGCATGCATATTTGCGCGTGTTGAAGTGTGTGATATATACATGGGCAGTACCTCTGAGGAGAGCATGGCCAGGAATCCAATGGTCCGACACTCCGCACTTTCCATCCACAGCAGGGCGTTACGGTTGTACTGACCGCGAAATTTTACATCAGATACGCCAACAAAAAATAGGTACACGCCCATGAGGCAGTCAGCACCTGGATGATAAGGATGACATCTATGAGTATATTTACGGGCAGATGTGCCCTGTGTGACTATAAGCCCATCTGTAAATGGTAAATGGCCTGCATTTGTATAGCGCTTTTCTAGTCCTTAAGGACCCCAAAGCGCTTTACACTACATTTAGTCATTCACCCATTCACACACACATTGGCGATGGCAAGCTACATTGCCCGGGGGCGCACTGACAGAGGCGAGGCTGCCAGAAACAGGCACCACCGGGCCCTCTGACCACCACCAGTAGGCAAACATTGGGGTTAGTATCTTGCCCAAGGATATTTGGCATGCAGCCAGGAGGCAGCCTGGGATCAAACCACCGACCTTCTGATTAGTGGCTGACCTGCTCTGCCACCTGAGCTACAGCCACCCACTACATCTACAACTTTCCCAAAAACAGTATCATAATATTTTTTAAGTCACCACAACAGGAAAGATTAATGGAACCACAAGCATGGATGGATCTTGCTATATGCAGATAGGTGGGTTGGAAAGAAATTAGGTAAGCGTTGGGTTTAAACTAAAACTGTGTGTAAAATCTCACCACTAGATCTAGATGCACTAGATTGCAGTCAACTGTTTTCTTACCCCTCCCAATTCAAGTGCATACTATTAGGTATGGTGGCCACTCTAGGACAAACAGCTCCGGTGTCTGTTCATCTGTAGGGAGTGTAGGCTGTCAGTCTGCTGTTTACCTCAGACGTCAGTTTGTTTGGTGTCTATTAGCAGGCTGTAAAACTTTGTGAAAGGAGTCTGATATGAGTCGATGAGCCAGTGAAGCTCACATCTGATGACAGCGATACTGAAGTGATTGTAGTTTGAGATATGCTAAACTTTTCTGTTGGGAAATGCTGTTGTTAGCTGCTGTTAGTCATTAACATCAACATTAGTGAAACTTCCTTTATAGTGGCTCTAACAGACACCTCATGAAAAAACTCAACCCTATGGTGCAAGAATATAAACAAACTGTTTATGAGAAGGAAACATGATGTTAGCTTATAACCAGCTGTTGTTGTTGGTGGCTTCCACAAACTGATGCCTGCTCCTTTATATTTTTAATGGATAAAAAGAGTTTTTGAGAACAGATCAATCTGTTGGAAGATGGAAGATGTAATCACACACTAATCAAAGTATATTTATGAGTACCACATGATGTACCGCGGTACATCAAACCCTCTGTGTCCTGTGTAATTACTTGTTGGAATAAGAAAGTGTTTCTATCTTATCTTATCCTAAAACTCACTGTTGTAATACCTTTAATCCTTTTATAAGCTGCACTTATAAATAGTGCAACATTTCAGCTTACCAAAAATATTAGAAATTAAACGTAGAGTATATTTTCAGTCGTTGTGGTTAACATCATCTTAATTTTAAGAAGACTATGGCAATCTAAATTTATACTTACTAATAGCTGCACAATAATGTCTTCTTCACTAAATTATTACCGCTGTAAAAACATGATTCCCTGTAACCAAAGACACCCCTGGATTAAAAATGCAATTTTAGTGAGATGTTAAATGCATCATAGCTGCTAACGTTTTACAACTAGCTACAAATTTTGATATATTTATTGTTAAACCTCTCAACCCAAGGTTTGGGGGGTGGGGGTCTGCTCAAACAATCTCTGAGCGACTGTGTATTTCTTTAATGATCTGACAGGACCTCAACTGCATTTTAAGAGGCATTTCTCACAGATTCAAAATTTACCTCCGTTTATTAATTAAGGATCTGAACTCAAGCCCACTTGCTTCTCACCGTCTAATCTATTATATCACATTTTCAATGTTCCTAGAAAGCCCGTCCTTGAGTTGGATGATTATGTTTATTTACTTATTCATTAATGACAGAGTAAATAAACAAAAAAACAAAAACAAAAGAACAATCTGCTCCTCACATTAAAGACGCAACTATCTGCAATCTCCAAAGAAAAGGTGCTCCGTTAATAATGTACAAATAAGACAAAGTAAACAATTTAAGAAGTACAGCAGAACAAAAAACAAAAAAACCTGCATGGTTTCCTTTTCCCTCCATCTCAGGGTCTTAGTGAGTTAGTCTCTTGTTTTGGTTTTCTCTAACACAATGCTGTTAGCTTTCTGACATTAAATTAAAAAAAAATAAATTAAACATGTTTTTACTTCTGGAAACAAACCAAGTGGAAACAACTTTGCCTCCAGACAGTTTTGTTCATATTGTGACAGTCTAATACAACCACAATCCCATGGTTTGAATGGACAATCCCATATGACCGAGCCATAGACAACAGAGTGGTGAAAGAACTCCCTTTAAAGAGGAAGCAACCTCAAGTAGAAACAGACTCAAGGAGGGAAGCTTTTTACCATGAGGGGAGACGCAAACTACAATCCCAAATCCAGAAAAAGTTGGGATCCTGTGTAAACACAAATACCAATCTCATAAACCTATAGTCACGTGCTATTCACAACAGAACACAGAAAACAAAAGTACGTAATACTAAAAAGAAACAGCTGCAGAGACTTTTTGCAACTCATTGGGATCACTGGCAACAAATCAGAAACATGAGTGGGTGTAAAAAGAACATCTCTGATAGGCAGAGTTTCTAAGAAGTAAAGATGAGCAGAGGTTCACAAATCTGTAAAAAAAAAAATACACAAATTGAAGAATTTTAGAACAGTTTTCCTCACTGCAAATTTATGAAGACTTTGGATACCTCACCAGTTACAGTACATAATATCATCAAAAGACGCATCTGGAGAAAAATATCAGTACTGGATGCCCATGATCTTCAGGTCCTTAGACTTCACTGCATTAAAAACAGACTTGATTTTGTCATGGAAATCCCTGCATGGGCTCAGTAAAAATTCCAGATTTCACTGTCTGTGAACACAGTTCATTGTGCCATCCAAGAAGGTTTAAAGCTCTATGATGCAAAGAACAAGCCATATGTGAACATGATCCAGAAATGCTACCATCTTCTCTGGGCCAAAGGTCATTTAAAATGGACTGAGGCACAGCGGAAAACTATTGTGTGGTCAGACAAATTGAAATTTAAAATTCATTTTGGAAAACATGGATGCCTGGCTCTCTAATGGTATGAGGGTACATTAGACCCAGGATTGCCGAGCAGCTAGAGTCCTCTGTCAGACAAGAATGGGAAAAGGCTACACTTCTAAAGGTCAGCTGCTGGTTTCCTCAGGTCCCAGACTTTTATGGACTGATGTTAAATGAGGCCGGATGCTATACACTGGTAAATTTGGCTTGCTATCATCGATTTCAAAATGAGCTGATAGTTTATCTGGAACTTTTTCCTCATCTGTAAAACTTTATGAGATTTCTACATTTCTGCATTCTGTTTTTATTTCCACTTTACAAAACGTCCCAGTTTTTGCATTTTTGGAGTAGGCTTTGCTACAGAAAGGCACAGGGAATGTGAAAGAGGAGAATGAAGGAGAAGTGTGTAGATTGGGAAGTCTCCAAGCAGTTTGATCCCATCCCAGCATAATAAACTTTTATTTGCCTCCCAGCCTGATCAGACATTACATTTTCTGCATCCCGTTTCATTGGATAGAAGCAAGGCTAAGCTGACTTATTCACTTTCCAAAAGAAAAGCTTGACATTTAGATTTATCGCTGCTTTTACAAGTACTTTTATTTTGCGAGACTGTCTCACCCGGTGCTACGTTGTTACTCACAGCAGAGAACTTTGATGCAGGCAGCATGCAGGTTGTTCTCAGCACGAATCAGCGACCTCATGCCGATGACAAACAGATTACCGAAGCAGGTGATGAGGGCCATGACCCAGACAGACACCCGCAGCACCGTGTTAGCCAGGAGGTCCTCAAAAGAAGAGATGCCATCTGTGTTGGGTTTACAGGACCTCACATGAGGTGCATAGGAACAGTACTGAAACTTCTTGAAATAGCTTGTAGAGAAAAGAGAAAAATTGTAAAAAACAAACAAACAAACAAAAAAACAACCGACAAAGAAGAGATGACAAAACATGCTGGTTCTTCTGAAGTGAAGCTGTGTGTTACACATACATGTGGGAGAGGTTCTTCATGGGAAGAAACACCTTAGTCTGAATATCTGCGATCTCAATTCCCTCCAGCGCTCTGTAGGAAATAACAGATTTCACCACCGCACTAGACTACAGCAAACTCTGAAGACCAATTTCAGCATTAAGACATCAAAGTGAAGAAGCCATTAATGCATTAGAAAAATATTCTGGAGAGTCCCAGATGACTTCAAACAAGTGTTTGAAGATTTAAACTAGTATTCATGATTGAGGTTAGAATAACGTTTAGAGGAAAGTTATTAAAATTAAGCATGTAGTTGTGATGTTTGAGGCTCAGGGCAATAAAGGTCCTCACATGTATAAAAACAGGCAAACCTGTGTATGTCAGAGTACTTACAGAGACTGAAGATGTGTCAGGTGGTGGAAATGGCTTGGATGAATGCGGAGGAGAGGATTATGGGAGATATTTCTGAAACAAGAAACAGATGATAAACACAACAAAGCCTGTCAACATGAAATATAACAAATGGCCAAATGACAGTACATTCCTGACATCCTTGATTGTTTAAAACAAGTAAAAAACAGGTCTGTGTCCAATTACACCTGACATTAGATACAGAATGCTTTCTGCACTTTTCCCCCTGCTCAGATTACATAGTTTAGAGTAGATTTAAAGTCTTCTTTAGAGGGCCTGAATGTTGCCACAAATGTTGCAATGAACAATGGCAGGATAGATCTGTGCAATAGCATATTTTGATACTTTGACATAATACATTTTTTCCTGCTTTGTAAGTCACTTCACGATGGACAGCTTTTGAAGTGACAGCAGTGATCTGTGAGATCCATGGATAGCTTGTGCTGTGGAAAATAGCCTAATCTCATTGTTCCAGTTAAGTCTTAGTCATGGAAATAATTTTTTCAAAAGAATCTCATGACAGAAACGGGATTGCTCCTCTCCTAGTCAGTAAAAGGTCAGTGTTTTTTATATCTTCCTGCATGTCTGTGCCCACCTGTGTTTTAATGTGAGGGAAGAGGGATCACCATCATTTCTGCTGGAACACTAAATTCTGACGTGAACTATATGGCCTCTCTTTGGAGGAGAGTTATTATGGACACAGTATGTCCTCTTGAGTAATATTTTTGGTGTTGAAAAGAGCATGAGTGCTAACGAAGAAGCTGTCTTTGTTTTGTAATGAGTTGAAGGATTTCTTGTTTGGTTTTAAATGTGTGGGGTTGGCCAAGTGGGGGAGACGGTGGGTGGATGAGGCAGAGTAGATCCTTTAGGTGTTGGAGTAGTTACAAAGTATTGATAAAACAGCTTAACTCATGATGAGAGTGGCCAAGAAAAATAACTGACTATTCAATCTAAGACTACGTTCTCAAAACACTGCAGTTTAAGTCAGTTTAAGTCTGCACTGAACCCGTGAGTTCAGTGCAGATTTATGAGGTTGATGAGGCTACGTTAATATCAGATTTTATTGGCGGGAAGTTATAGACTAGGCTGAGACAGAGAGCGGCACAGTTGTGAATAATGGGCAGCATCCAAACGGCAACCGCAGCCTCATTTCGTGACTCACTCTTCGGCCTAACACCCGCACAAACATGACGACTGCATGAGAAACCTTCAGTCAAGCTAGTTCAGACTTCAAGCCAAACTTATGCCAATTTTGATTTAAGTTCTGGGGACTGTCCCGTTTTAATGACAAACTAGTTTAACGCCATGTCCCTAGTGATCTTTACCGAGTTACACACACACACACACACACACACACGGAGCCAGCGAACCAACTGGAGCGCAACAGTTTTATGAAAGCAATTATTCATACGCTGTTACTCTGACTGACAGCATCTCCAGTCCTGGCCCCTCCTTTCCCAAAAAAAGTCTTCAGCTGCTGCTCATAAACAGGTTTGTCTCAAGGTTCATTCATTTTGGTAATTTTTTCCCCTTCAGCACTAAGAGGCAAAAGTACAGAAATGTTGTTTTTACGTAATAAGTGGAAGATTTGAGTATGCATAGAAAAGGCTGAGGCATTTTATACATGCGATTAACACTACAAAATTAAACAGTCCATATGCCTTAATGCACAACACAATGCATATGAGGAGCAGCTCTAAAACTGTGAGTTACACGGACGATCAGCGTTAACCTTGTAACGCTGAGCGTATCATATTTGATTTGATGAGCTTTTGAAACCACTACATCAGAGAAGTCATTGTGGGTCACATACAGCTGACTTTGATCTTAAGTGGCCCAGACCAGGGAAACTGCCCTTTCTGTCAGTGAAAAAAAGTTTAACTACGCATTTACTGAGATGTCTTAATAGAAGAAGAAGGTGCGCAATTTCAACAGTATTTCTTAATTTTTCTTTGTTTGTTTTTAGTAAACAAAGGAAATGAGTCAGCACGACTCCTTGGGCCAAAACCTTAAGAAGTAAATGTGTAAAATTACAGAAAAAGTTCTGATGGTTCAGTGTCCAGACTGTCCGCTAATTATAAACCTGAATGTTTCTGTTAATTCACAGAAAATGTCCTATTTTTTTCCCCTATTCCACCCTTTGGCGTAGTTTGAATGGCCATGGCAGAGAGCTTCATCAGCAAGAAAAGCTGTAAAATGTATTAAAAGACATTTAAAAGCACAACATTTATGCCATTCTTAACTTTTTGCAAAGCCATGAAGTGGGCCAGGCTTTAATATAGATCTATCTATCTATCTATCTATATAAACTCATATATGAAAATTTATATTTTATTTCCTTTTTAAAAATTTGTCAGAAAGTTCAAGACGTACTCTAGTTTTTTTTAATTCTTGTAATTCACTGTTCTGGCTTTACTCAGTTAAGAGGAAAAGTTAAGAGTTAAGCTTATTAACTGACAGTTATTCCATTAAAAGTAACACTCCACCTACAGCAGTTTCTGAATGGTCTTTCGTCATTGAATCATTTTCTAGGTTGTTAATCATTTTAGGGAGATTTTAGGCCAAAGCCCCCTGCAATCATAGTGTGTAAGATACACATTTTCTTGGTTTTATTATAGGTGTTTCTCCTATGATGTTCAAGGTGACCCACACAATTCACAAGAAACTACCAAATATCCTTCTGAAAGGGTGGGCCGGTCTGAATGAACGTTTGCGTTATCATACACACAGCGACTATTAACTATTATTAACAATATGTCAAGATTTATTAATAAATTTATAAAATTAGATTTATACATTTCCATTCTTTAAATATTCCTCTATATCATGTTCATTTCATCATGCCTCTGCAAATGCAGTGTTATGTTCTCTGTTTGTTTCGTGTGTCACCCGTAAGTCACCAAAACTTGTATCCACGACAAAATTTTGCTCGACTCACCTCTAAATACAGAGTGAAGAATTTGAATAAGTGCTGCAGGCTTAATAATAATTTATTTATCCTTTATTTGGAAAATAATTTTGTTACAGCACTTGAATTAATAATAAAAGTTTAGAAGTTTAAATATAAAATACAAAAAAATCCCTACTACATATTGCAGTTTGATGCAGGATTTTACTGCCTGTCTTCAGTTTGTAAATATTTCTTATATTACATTACTATATATCATTTTCCTCTCACATAGTGGAAAAGAAGCTCAAAATACCACTAAATGAAAATGAAGCAAGAGGATTAATGGAGGATTATATAGAATTGGCACATAAATAAACTCAGTTTATCTAAAAATATGATGCTTGCACTTATTATTTTAAACCAATGCAACAGTTTCATGATTGATTTTTCTTTTACATTAATTATATAAGTTCTTTCTTTCAAAGCTTCCAACAAAAATAGTTTTATTCTGCATCTGATTACAGCCTCCATGTATCCCACTAAGAATAAGTCACATTCTCAGAAACCTTCACAAAGTTATTTTTTCTTAATCCTACTTTAGACCTTGTCCTAATTCACTCCTGTTACAAAACCCACATAATGACGAATGATTTTCCACACTATCATTTACTCACAGTTTAAGGAGGGATTTGGAGAGACTCTTGAAGGTGTTTTTCGGCAGCTCCCTAATCCTGTTCCTAGACAGATCCCTAAAGAGGATGAAAGAGAAACAAGGGAAAAATTAAACCTGACTCACTTTATAGCACATTTACATTTTTCTCATTCAATTCCAAACATGGACAGTGTAAATGTGCATAGAAAACAGAAAAGGCTTTAAATAAATGCGCAGATACATAATGTTTGCATGAAATTCTACACAGGTTTCTTTTCTTACTCATCCCTGACACTTCACATCTCATCAGAACAAAACCTCTCTGACTAACACCAGCCTTACCAGAATCTCTTTGAGTGAACTTGAACACAGTGGTGTATATTTATTTATTTATTTTTTTGACATGGTTTTACTGACTTTCTATGAATATGCTCTTACTCACAGTTCGGCCAGCTTCCACAGAGACTGGAAGGTGTTTTCGGGAATTGTCCTAATCCTGTTGTCTATCAGTAACCTGAAGAAGGCAGAGCTGCTGTCAGAAACCATCAGAGAGCTGCAAAGTGCTGTTGGAAAACTGGTATAAATGGATAGACTCAGTCTTAACCATGTCCTCAAAGTTTGCATGACCCTGCTTAGGCCTCCCTACTCACTGAACTTCGTGTGAATCCTTTCCTCTAGTTCAGCTTATTTCACTGCCAAACCTCATGGCTCATCTCCTCTCAGCCCTATGTTGTATTTTTATTTGTGGAGCTTAAAAATGCCGCACATGAATTCATTTGAAACAAACCTTGATTGCACTTCTGTCTAGATCTTAGTTTAACCTCCTCTGAGGCACATGAGCTGCTCTGGTAGGTCCTAAAAACAACAGGCTTTACTGTTGGGCTTTGCAGGGCCATTTGTGAAACAGCAAGTCGGCAGCCTTGGTGAGGTCAGGGATGCAGCATCCACCAAGGAGATTGAGACTTGGCTCACCGAAGTGGAAGAGCTTAAATTTAAGTGTATGGCATTTTTCTGGCTTCTGTTGGTGTATGAGGTGATCCTGTTGACAGTGGGAAGCAAAAGATCCATATACACAATCCACTGAACCTATACTTGAATCAACAGACATGGTGTTCTGGCAGATGTGGTGACAAGTGAATGAATAGGTGCCATCCCACAAGCTCACTATCACATGGTAGTGACGGACCTGGCAGACTAAAACCCAGAGCATTAATTTCTGTTTATGTCCTATTTAACCCAGTGACCCTCCACATCTGGGATAAAAATAAATGAAGAGCACAATGTGCCCAGGAAAAGCTTTACTTAAGCATATCCTCCAGAGCTGCTGGCTCTAGTGACATGATTGCATGCCGAGGCCAACTCAAAGTAGGTCTGCAGAAAAAGAGCTGGTGAGAAGCCTAATTAAGCCAAGATCAGCAGGCCTGCTTACCACAGTGTAATTTTTGGCCTAAGTCAAGTTTCCAAGCAAGTTTAGGCCAGGCCTGATAGTCACATTTAGTTGCGACAATTTCTATTTCTATGCTTGTTTGACCAATTTCTTAGAGATCTGATTGCACAGCAGAATTTGTTCTTGTTAATTAATAAAATAAATAAAAAGAGAACAAGTGTGTCTGAGGTTGGGCGCGCCAAGGGGAGAGAATAGGAGATAAAATAAGATGGTAAACAGATAAAATAAAACGAATAAAACACAATTAAAGGATTAAAATGGGAGATTTTCTAAAAACTTAAGGCACTTAAGTCCCTTAAGGATGATTAACTAACTGCAGTGATATATGAAAAGTCCATAATTTCTAATGTATTTCCTGTAAACACAACATTAAATGCATTTAGGCACAACTGAGACCCCAGAGATATATTAAACATGCACAAACACATCATCATTAGTACACTTAACTAACACTTGCTGTAGACTAACAGTGCAACAGCTGTAATATTGTATCTATATCACATTCTGTTATAGTTCTGACACAAGCAACCTTTCAACAAGTGATTCTTTTTACTGTGGACACTTTGTAAAATGCAAAAAAACAAACAAACATATTTCTATAGTAGAAAGATGAAAGACACAAACTTTTTATTTAATTGTTTATCTACTAGTTTGAATGGCTGTGGGGGGTCTTGTCTTATGCATAGTTTTGTCTTTGTTGGGCCATTGTGTTTGAAACACCTGCTCTACTGGGTTGAGATGTTGAGAGGCCATGTCCAAGAAACCAGTTCAAAGTGATCTGAGCCATGAGAAGATGGGTGCACTGTGGTCATGGTCAGCAACAATACGCAGGTAGGCTGTTGTGTTTAAACAATGCTCCACTGGTCTGAAGGGACACAACGTGTGCCAAGAAAATATCCCCAACACTATTCCACCACTAACCCGAGCTTTGACACAAGGCAGGATGGATCCATGCTTTCTTGTTGTTAACGCCAAATGCTAACATCCAGATGTTGCAACAGAAATCATGACTCATGAGACCAGACAACATTTTTACAGTCTTCTTTGGACATCCCAAAAACTTGATTATGTTCATCTGGGCGTAGCGTTTTCAGTGGGAGAAACGTTTTGTCACTCATTCAAGTGACTTCTTCAGCCTCGTGACATTCAGAGTCACTTAAATCAATCTTCTTTCTCATGTAGATGCCTAGTTTGAACTTCAGCAGGTCATCTTGACCATGTTTTCATGCCTACATGCACAGAGTTGCGGCTATTTGTTTGGCCGATTAGATATTTGTGTTATTGAGTAGTTCAACAAGTCTACCTAACAAAGTAGCTGCTGAGTATATATGCAGCATCTGAAGATCAAAAAACACCTCTCGTTACCTTATCTTTTGGGAAACTTTCTTTGTGGTGTGCAGATTTAAACCCTGAGCTTTCAGCATTCTTATTGAACTTTTAATAAAGCAGGATACTCACAAAACTTCAAGCTTGCTGCATGACTTTAAGATAGAGTAGTTAAGAGTTTGAATCTGGTTTCCCTCAAGATCCCTGAGAGTAGTGAAAACAGGAGGAGAGGGAAAATAAAAATGTACATTTACTAAACATACAAATATAAGGGTGTAATAGTTTTTTGGTAAAAGTTATGAAAGAAAAAATAAATGGAATATTTTTCTTGCACTTAATCTGCTCAGAAAAAAATAAAGCAAATCTGAGCAGCCCCAGAGATATCGGCTGACTCAAACTGTCATGCAACTCAGTATCACCTCTATAATACCAGTTTAATTTGTTATTTATATATGCAAACAAGGACAAACACACATCAGCATAACTGCGACACTTTTTAGTGCACTAACATCACATGCATTACACACCTGCATGCACACAAGTACACTCTCACTCACAGCCAGTCCAAGGCAGGCATGTGTTGACAGAAGCTTGGATGAGGAAGCTGCTGCAGTGAAGTGTTCACCATGGACCTGAAGGGGGGAGGAAGACATTTAATCGCAAAACTAAATAGGACCGAACAGAGTTGTAGAGTGACTACTAAACAGATGTAAGGCTTAGACTGTGACTTTTAAGAGCCAAATTACTCCTGGACTTCTTGTCATCCATATATAAATGTCAGAGTGTAGGATCGGTGGTCGGTCAAGCAAAAGTGAGTCAAAAGTCAGACAGACAACAGGAAGCAGCAACATGTTTGCATGGAAAAATGTTCACATGTCATATACTCAGTGTTGGGAAGGTTACTTTTAAAATGTATTCCATTACAGAATACAGAATACATGCCCCAAAATGTATTCTGTAACGTATTCCGTTACGTTAC